TTGTATACATATAAGCTTACAGTGAACTGCCCTTGTGCCAAGCAGTTCTCTGTGGCTTTCAGCAACCATGTTGAATTAAGCTTACAATGAAAGGAGCTACTTTTCTGGAAAATTAATAAAGATATATAGAAGACAATGCACTTTATCCTTNTGATATACCAGTACAGGCATTCTGTAATACTATAAAACTCCAGTCTTCATTGTTTGGTATTGTTTTTCTGATATCATAATAACATGTCTATGTGTTCTGATAGTGGGCATTTCTTCATTAGAAAATTCCAATATAACTTCATTACACTGAGCAATGTTGGAACCTTTTCAGTGTTGTTAATTTTGAGTAAAACCTACCTCAAAAGATTGAATTAAACTATCAGTTTCTACAGGTATTATATGAACCACATTCTCCACATTTTAACCCTACCACATGAAACTTGGCTTTACTTGTCTAAATAATAACAAAATCATAACATATTACTTCATAAAATTGGGCAATGCGGTGCATTTATCAGCATATACTTGACAGTTTTACCTACATGTTTCAACTAGCATAACTTGACAGCATTAGCTTGGCAGCTTAAAACAGCATTTTCAACCAGCATAATATTGAAATTTTTTGCTTCTACTGTGTCGATAAACAAATTTACAGTAAATACCTTATGACAATCTCGACATAATATATCTAATATCACATTCTTATACTCTTCAGGCATTTCAGTGTTAGCTAAATCTTCATCTAAATGTTTCCAAACATCTCCCATATCTACCAATGACTCATTACATGTTGGACACGCATAGTTGCTTAAAATTAGAAAATATAAAATCATAGGAGATAGAATCACAATACAATACATCTTTACATGAGTAAATTTGATACATACATATATTAGCCTGTGGTCTCATGAACCTGCATTTGGTACACCAAAAATACCTACTACAACGTATAATAAATTTTTGTTGGCTTATCACTGGATTAAAATGTGTATTAAAATTACACTTATAGGAATGCTTCTATATTTCTTTTACAACATGTGAAACAAACAAATATTACTTACTTTGATTTGAGCAGGTTATAATAACAGTCACTGCAAGATAAAATATAGATATAAGTGTATTATTGTTATGAACAGTCTAGAAAACTGCTGTGACAGTTCTTTGGACATTAAAGAATTAAAGAAAACTTTGTCGAGTGAAAATAATATGAACACTATTCTAAACCTGATATAAGACAAGAATGCAGTTCATATATGTATATATGGAGAACAATCAGAGCTATTTCAGACAAAATACAAATTATAACATAGTGGCACTTGATCAAGCAGAATATATAACATTATAATTCTAGGAGTAGGACCATTTAAGAATTGAAACACATTGAAACTTACTAGTGTATTAAATGTCCACAATCAGGAACATGTAGTTTTAATCTTGATGTATGTAAATCATCTCGACATATTGCACAAACATCATGGGACACCTTCTCAACACACTGCCAATATCAAATATATATATGTTCTATAATAATTCCAGTATTACAATCGAAATATAGGCAAACAGTACTTTTTTGAAAGGTCTTGACTAAATTTATGATATATATTGTAAATGTAAAACAGTCACATTGTAAGGATACTGACTAAGCATGTTCACCTGAAGGAGTCAGCTCAATGAATAGCAGTATTACAGTGGTGTAACCTATTTTCGTGGATATAAGGATTCAACACCGAATTTCGTCAAAGTTAAAAAAATGAAAAAAATTTTTTATGTCTTAGATGTTTCCTCAGATATTCTACAAAATAATTAAAATTGGTTTATTTCGATTTTCTTTATGAATCCTTCACTTTGACCCATATTTCATTAGCAACCAACTCAGCAATGGCGGCAGAATGCGTCACGTATTTTCGTGTACAATGTTTGATTTATAAATAAGTCTTGAAAAACACGTTGTATGGATACCGGGTGGTATAATTACTTCTCTTAGTATTTATCTTTAATATCAATTCATTATAACTAGTGACAATTCCTTCAAAGAACCACGATTTAAAAAAAAAATAGTGACTGACAAAATAAGATACGTAGCGTGATTTATTGCTAAAAGTCACTGAAACAACATAAGAATATGGTCCACTTTGTGTTCCATAGAAATTTTCTGCTGACACGGAATCCGCTAGTTGACCACGTGACTTCATTCGTTGGAATATATCCTAGCAGATGGAACTTGGAATTCCTATTACCGCTTGGGATTATAAGGAAATTCAGCTGGTAAAAAATGGTGACGTTTGGTAATAAGTGAAATCCGCCATTTTGTACTTGTCAAAGTATACATTAATACATTTTACCCTGCTTGAAACTACTGAATTCATTCTACTAGCTGATATTGTAGAGAAAACCCATGTTTATCAAAACAAACTAATACGGAGGTCGCGGAAGGTCGCTCATGTAAATTATTAATCCTTTCCGGAAATCCACGAATAATAGGTTTCCACGAAATTGGGTTACTTGACTGTAATTAGAAAGAGTATTGTCTGACATCCATACATCCTATATTTCTACATCAATCCTATATTTATGACTTTTCATATATATTTATGAATAGATCTGTTCAGAACATAATAAATGGTCATCTTTGTGCCCTATCATTCAAATGAAATATGGTCAAATTTATATTAAAATAGATAATAGTATGTTTCAAGACAGGAAGGAAAACAAATGAATTAAAACTTAATTTATGTTCAAAGGCCTTACAAAGCAAACAGAAAACATTACCTTATGATTACCTTTCAATGATGTTGCTAAACATAAATCACATTTTTTACAATGAAAAAAGTTCTCTCGACCACCAAGTCTATAATGATATAAAGTAACAGTACTAGCAAGAGGTTATATAAAGCACACTTGTAGTCTTTGCTTTGTTCATTAAACTAATAATATGCTGTACAAAAATAACTGATGAGGACCATTAAAATAAGCTTCAAATTTTGTAATAAAGAAATATTTTAAATAAAAAATATATGAATAAAATTCAAATACTGACCTTTACAGAGGACATAATTCATATTGCAATTTTGTACAAAGGCTATGCAACATGTTAAAGTGTTATTTGATTAGACAGAAAGTAAAACAACCTACCTGCACAAGCCACAGAATTCACAATGAAATTGTTTTTTACTAATATCATCATCATATAGATTACAAATATTACAACAATATTTACTAAACTCTATATCACAGTTGGTGCAAGTTCTTGATACCTGAAAACATTTACCATTCACCTTATAGCCATGTATAACATAATTCTTAATCTTTGAAGTCAGTGGATGTGCTAAACTGACTTATAGTCAAGAATTTGAAATAATGAAGCTTAATCATCTGGAAGAATAAGTTGAATTCAAGTGACATTTAACGAAAATCAAAAATGACTTGAAATGAATAAGAACTTGTAAATTTAAAATCAAGGATAAGCTTATATAGTCTTGTATCTACTCTTATTTTAAAGCAGGCACAGACACTTCAATTATCTATGTTTAGAAATTGAACTATTGAATAAAATTTTTAATCAGGGCCTATAGTATTCAAGATTTACTTTTTCTAAGAGAATAAATGTTGTAGTTTTATCTTTCCCTCAAGGTAAAAAATAGTTAAGGTGTCAACTACGGTACCGTACCACACTTTAAGAGGCTTCTCTCACAACAGATTTGACTGTCTTGTAGATACTAACCTTTTGAATGGTATTACATTTCATACATTTTAGTTTCTCAACACTTCTTCTATTTAACTCGTGGTTTTCATTGTCATCATGACAAACTCTACAGGTGTATTCTTTATCACAACATGGTGTCTGTCATATCAATTAATATAATTACTAGAAGCAATCATCTACATAAGCAATATTTCGCGTTTGGCAACCTACTAGGTCTAGTACTTTCAGATCAATGTGTTTTTGAACATCAGTACAATCAGTTTTGTCAGTCATTTCACTAACTCAACAAGCCTACAGAGTACATTACAGTTGTGCACTCTGTAAAATCAAGACCTGTTTTTATTGACCTGATCTGAAAACCGCTGCTTATGTTCCATTTCCTGCATTGACAGCTGCACTGTTTCTTACAAAAAGTCTTCTGACTATCTCATCTGCTGAGTATTTGGCAGAGTGCCAGTGCCATTGCAGTTGACTAAGTTCAAGTTGTGTAAGATTGAGATAGACTTATTATAATCTAGCCTATTTGAAAATTCCATTTCAACTGTGTAGCGTGACAAGATGATGTCTTAATCAATAAGTATGGGAATTACACGTAAAAAATTTCAGAAACCTACTATCAGGATACATTTTCTTTTATAATGAGTACAACCGAAGTTTTCTTGTACTCCTTCTCCTGCCATTTTGTTTTTCCGTTTGTCGCTTGTATCAAAGTCAAACTCAACATTCAAACTCGAAGGCCCGAGCTTATTGAGCAATCGAGAAAATTAACTAAGAGAAAAATATGTTTATAATTTACATTTAACTATGTTCTTGTGGATTATTTCTCAGAGAAAATGAAATATCTTTTTCAATGATCTAAGCAATTTAATCAGGAAAAGACAACTCTTCGAAGTAATAGGACCACGGAGTAATTTATACTCCCAAGTATAGGACTCACTCCACTAAAACATTTTATCCAAACGAATGTAGTCCAGGCTCTCCCTTTTAGGGTTTTGGGCTTATAGGAAAGTGGCTGCAGTAAACATCAACTTACAAGATTGTTAGACATGCCTTTACGAAATTCAAGGATTAGGCTTCTACTGGCAAATTCAGACATTCCCCCACCAGCTGAAAGTTGTATGTCCAAGTTATCCAATTATGTAAGTTCAAAGACTTGCTTCCAACCGTAACGTGATAAATGTGATTTGGATGGTCATTACAATTGTCTGACCATAGGACAAGAAACCTGGACAAGGAGCATCCCAATCAATCGGCATTGCTTGTGAGACAAACACAGATATGAAATATATCATAAGTGCTGTGTTGCAAAATAAACTTTGTTGGACTGGAGCGTGGCTAAAAAGCAGAGGTATTAGGACGTACTGTCAACTGTCCTGGACACAAGGGATGCACAGCAAATCCGACAAGACATGCACCTTTATCTGAAAGAGAAATGGGGAGTATAATTGGTGAAGATTTAACTATTCAAGGGGTGCTCAAGTTTGCAACAATAGGCCTAGATGGAGATTCAAGAACAATGTCAGCTACCAGAATTGAAGAGGCAATGAAAACTTTATAATCCTATGTGGAAAGTTGCAAGACTAGCTTACCCAGCTCATCTTAGTGCATCTCAGTTTTGCCTATGTTTTAAGGCTAATTTCAGCAGAGTGAGTCTGTATGGTACAGGAATTCTGATAGAACTCAGGGTTATTGGTGTCAATACAATTATTTGTTCATGGAGGTAGCTATGCAGGCTACAAAGCCATTATTAGTCCAGAAGACGGTCTAGAATTTCCAGTTTAAAAAAAAAGTTGAAAAATTTATAAGTTAAAGAGACTGATGCGCCATTTTGGGGGGTTGATTTGATTGTTGAATATATTATGTTAATAGTCTTCAGAAGTACTAAAAATGTAAAAATTTCTGTATAAGTCTTTTCTATACAAGTTGTTATTTTAACATCCAAACATGGGTAATTCTGGACACACAGGAATTTGAAGGCTCAAATTCCAATGCTGAGCTGTGAACACTATTACTAATTAGCTTTGCTAAAAAATTCCCATTTCTGAGTCTAAGGCATGATTGGTCAAAAAAACTGTTCACCTGTCCCTTTAATGAACCTGTTCACATGAAAATATTGAATGGGCATCTTAATCTTTCAAAGAGACTTTATTTCTTGAATTAGCCTATATCTTCTGATGGAAAATTTGATAAAAAGAAGAAACATTGATGCATGAAAGCCATATCCAGTTGTATATATACTGTTTCGAGAAAAAATCAGTACAGTAATAAAAACAACGGTATCACCAAAACCAGGTTTAATCAAACAAATCATCTAAAAGTCATCATCAAAAACAATAAAACAAGGCCACAAAAATAAAAATCTATGAAATTTATAACAATAAAACTCACATTAGCCCTAGCTAGATATGGCACATTTTGACTAAATCATGGACAAAATTGAAATCTTATAATTTATATTAAACTCTTATTACTGGAAACTAATCATTCGGTAAATCAAGAAAATAACAATCATATCAAAAGTTACTTTTGTCTAAAGTGGCAGTATGCAAATTTTTCATTATGAAAAACATTGTAAATTATACATTAAAGATTTCTATGAAAATATGCTATTTATGTATCTACTAGATCCAACTGAATTTGTTTTAAAAGAATGAGTGTACTAATCATTAATTAAG